TATATATATATATATATATAGTACAAATATATATACACACACACATATAATGTATAATGTATGTTCTGATCCAGAAATTGTAAAAATAGACCAACAACAAAAACAACAACAATAATAATAATAGAGGGAATTGTTGTCAAATCTCAAGTTATATATTTTTAGTTCACCAATCCTTTTCTTTTAATGAGTGGGTATTTAAAATGTTATGATAATCTTAAATAAGCAACATTTTTTAAAAATATGTCCAAAATATTGAAAATAATAAGTTATTTTTTGTTTACAATTCTTGCAGATTTATTTATTTATTTGCTTTTTAGCAAACGGCTGATGGAGAATTTTTTAAAATAAAATTTGTCAACACATTTTATATAATTTCAGTCCAAGAAAATTATTAATAATAACAGAGGTGTAACTGTTTTTGTTGTTTTCAGTAGTTCAGGATTTGATGTCGTCATTTAGCAGCTGCAGGGTTGAACAGCTCGTGCGTGTAACCTGACTGCAGTGCGTGTGTGTGTGTGCGTGACATGGTCTGCGTAAACTAAATTATTTTAATTCCAGCGCGCAGACGCTCCCTGGGGCTGCAGGCAGAGGAGTCTCAGGAGGCGTGTGTGTGCGCGCGCGCGTGTGTGTGTGACCAATGTTTCTTAGTAAAAATCTGAAGCAGGGCCGCGCACGAGGACCGATGAAGGACTGAAGCGGCCATGTTGTGTTCAGCAGGAGCTCACGTGCACAGGTGCGTTCAGAGCCTCGTGCAGAACCGAACCTGACAGAATCACTAAACGTTCAGTTTGTGCTCGTGCACGTGTTTTAAATTTTCTGCAGTTTGTCAGGAACCCCCTGAAGCTGCGGCCGCTTCAGGTCCGGCTGGAACTTCAGTCCAGTTCGAGTCAAAATGAAACTTTTAACAAGTTTTTTGTGAATCCGAACAAAAACCTGCAGCCAGAGACCTGACCCGAGGTTCTGCTCCCGCTTCAGGTGTTAGGGGGTCCGGCTGAGCCCAGACCTGGATCAGGTTTAGACCCGGTTTATAAAGACCTCAGAGGGAAGACGCGCGTGCGTCGGATCAAACGGGAGCTGCTTGTTTAAAAAAAATATATATATTTGACATTTCTAATGTCGTTTTTGTCATGAATGTGCAAAAAGAGCAGAAATATTAAAACATTTTCTCTGGAGGCCAGTTTTAATTCTTTGCTTCATAAATTATAAAAAAGTTCTGAGGCAGAAATAATATTTTCTGATTTAATTTAAAAATGACACTTTTTTTTTAAAGACTTAGATGAAATTAAATCTCTTTAATCCGCTTTAAGCTTCATTTATTTTTAGCTGCTGGAAGATTTCCCGTCAGACCCGATGAGACCTGAGCAGGACTCGGTGGGAGGGGGGTGCGGGGGGGCACGGTGCACCTGCGCGGGGCCACGAGCTTTAATCCGTGGGTTTCTTGGGAGGGAGGGGGTCCAAACACAGTCGGGGCCACATCTGTTTCCAATTCCGGGTCCAGGACGAGTCCAGAGATCCTTCTGGTGTCCTGTGCTGTCCCGCCCCCCTCAGACCGGGACCCGAACCCGAACAGAACCATCAGAGAGGATTACAGGAGGTTCTCCAAGGATCAGATCAGAACAAACATCAGCAGAATTTAGATCCCTGCAGAACCTCTTCAGGGATCCATCAGAACCAGTTCTGCACGGTCCGGATCATGAACGGGTTTTATTCGGTTCTGGTCGATTTTTCCACCAAATCTCAGGTTGAAGAGCAGAACTGTCACAACGTGACCCGGTAAAGTCCCGGGAGATCAGATGTAAACCCGCGAAACGTTGAGATGAAATAAAAACTAAAACTGAAGAGGAAATACATTTTATTGTTTTTAATTTGTGTGATTTTTGAGGCGTCGTGTTTAAAAGCAGCTAATTTATTTGGAATAAAACATTTGACTTGAGGAGGACGTGCAGTTTATTCTGATTCTCTTTGGACAAACTGCGAGAAAAACACAAGAAAAGACAAATACAAAGGAGAAACAAACTTTTTCATTTCTGCACAAACAGAAATACTTCAATAAAAAATGTTTAAAAATGATTTAATGATTCTGAATCTCAGATTTGATTTCATCAGAAGAAAAATATTCAAAAGAAGAGACACAAAGTTTTATTTCCTATCTCCAGCCTTTCTCCAAAATGTTTCCATAAAACAGTTAAAAGATTAAACTTCATCAAACGTTCATAAAAAATCAACTTGATCAACTTTAAAAAGAATAAAATTAAACTTTAACACTTGAATCAACTCCATCTTAAAGGAAAAACACAAATAACACCCTAAGGTTGCATCATCATATATTCATCATAAATATATTATATATTCATCACAAATTATGACACGATTAAAAATTCTGCGTAAAAACAAAACGAGACAAAAGTTAACAAGAGACACTGAAGAGTAAAAAATAAGTTCATGAGCTGAAGGAGGGGACTCGTCTTCAGGCGTTGGGGTTTAGTCTCATCAGCTGGACGTCTGCGTCCACCATCTCCTTCACCAGCGCCTGCAAACACAAAACAAACAAACAAACAAACAAAAACATAAACATGATCTGAGCGCTTCATTTTCAAAACCACATTATTATTCCATGCAGGACAAAAAACACAAACAAATGAAATGTTCTATTGAGCAAAATAAATGTTTACAATCTTTCTTTAAAAATTTAATATTTTATATTCCTCTGTATAAATAATGGACTCAAAGTTTTACTTTTATATATGATAAAAAATGAAAAATAAATAATAATAATTATTAACCTACTGATATTTGAGCTTTTATTTAGTATTTTTGTTTAATTAAAATAGTTCCACCTCAGACAAAATATAAATTATATTCGTATTAAATTAATAAAATCATAATTAATTTTTACAACTTTACCTTTAATAAAATGTTACTTGTGATTTGTAAAACTTTATAAATGAGTTATTAAACATCTGCTCCTATTTTTATTTACTTGTTTAATATAATTTTGCTTTTCTATTAATGTTTTCTGTTTATAAATATATAAATTATTGCTTAATAACAGTTTATTAAGTCTTTACAGCTTATTAGATAACAGCATTATTAACTATTTGTTACTTATTTATAAACATAACTTACGGTTAAGTGGAAACAATAACTTTTTTAATTAAAGAAAAAAAAAAATACTTAAAAATGTGAACACGACGCACATCCCAGGAGGTTAATATGACATTTTATTATTTTTTATTTAAAACCTAAAAAATATTATTTGAATTCTTGTTGAAAAGTTTAAGCTGAAGAAAAACCAAAGTGTCCAACTGCATTTAAAATTACTTCTTCCACATAATTAAATGC